ACCCCCCTAGTTGGGGTACAGGTACGGCAGATAGTGTAGAACCTTCGGGCAGACTACTTAAATTAGGCACTCAAAAGATGCACATGTGGCTATATGTACTCTTATTGTAACTAATATGTTATATATCTACTTAATAAAAAGTCCCCAGGCCATAGAGGTCACCTTAATACTGAAAAAAAAAAAATTTTCAAATAATTAGCCTCTTTCACCAGAATGAATTATTTAATTTAAGAATTAATATTTATTAATTATTTGATTAGTAATGCTTTTTAAATAAAACATTTATAAAAAGGTTTGAATTTTATCTTTGTTAGTGTTGCGTAGTTTATGAACAGCCTTTATACCTAGTAAAAGGTATACAAATAGATAATGGGCTAATTAGTAAGTTAAAGAGCATAAAAGCAGTTAAGGAATATGGAATAATCAATTCACTTGATAATGTGATCAATCAGGGTCATACTGATAATTGAAGTATCAGAGATTAATTGAAATCAGGTACGATAGGTACTTTGATTGTTGAGTGCATGAATATGATGATTAGAATAGGGACAATGAAAAAGTTTAATTAATTAAATAACAAAGAAATAGTTAAACTGTAATACAAAGTATGTAATTGTTGGAATCGCTTAAATAGCAAATTGTAAATAAATAATTAAAATAGTCTTTCGACTGGGATTAGTTAAGTAATAAACGAATAGTTAAAGTAAATACCTGTGTACAAAATAGCGTACTGTGTGTCATCGTTAAAGGAGGAGTGTGTGTCTCTAAAAGCCAAGCGAGACCATAATATTAATAAACCATCTGGGGTAGATAGCAGTCACTACGGTGATTGTCTAACTCTTTGACAGTTAGTTAAAAAATGTTTCTATTTGCTCATAAAGCAACAAAAAAACTTGAAATATCATCACATACATGTGTCAAAATTCTTTCTTGATGATTCTATCACCACTATTACCGCCTCCAAAAAAAATTACCTGCATGCACAGGTCTCTAGCCAAAAACAAAACCCAAAACAACTTCAAAGGTTTACAAACTTTATTGGAATGATCGTGCAAAGGTTTTGTCGAAGAAATTGTGATTACCCACCAAGAATGTTGTTGTGTGCGATACCAATTTGTGGTTCTCCTCGACTATTCAACTTCTGTCGAATGTGAGCTGTCTGAGGATATCTATTGAAAACAAGAAAGATGAATCTATCGTTGAATTGAAAGGGAAAAAATGAAAGATCACGATGGTTAGAAAGAGCAAGAAGAGAAAGACTAATGAGAGCGTGTATCGGACGTTGAACGTGTATTTGTATCTGAATCACACTCAGAAACAAATGTTGAAACAATGGATGAGATTGTCAAGGTTGGTATGCAACATGATCGTCGGTTACCTCCAGGAAAGGCGATATGTTATCGAAAAATCCAAAAGGTTCGTAAATTTCCTGAAAGCACAATATCTAAGAACCATAGTTTACCTGAAACTAAGAAGTAAAAAAGTTTACGATAAAGTTCCCAATAATATTATTGATGAGACTGTTGACGAAGCAATCAAAAATTACAATGCTAAAGAAAAAGGCTTGACATTATCATACAAATCAAAGAAAGATCTGAAACATACTATTAGGCCATGCAAAATTAATTAAATGGTTTTCATAACCCGGCCGGGTCAAAATTTGAAAATTTCAAAAAAAAAA